CAACTGATTTTTGGATGTTGATCTTATATCCTGCCACGATGCTAAATCTCTCAATTAGTTCCAGTAGATTTTTGACCGAGTCTCTTGGGTTTTCTTGGTATAGGATCATATCATTAGCAAATAGAGATAGTTTTACTTTTTCCTTACTAATTTGGATGCCTTTGATTTCCCTTTCTTGCCTTATTGCCTGGCTAGGACTTCCAATACAGTGTTGAATAGAAGTGGTGATAGTGGGCATCCTTGTCTGGTTCCTGTTCACAAGGGGAATGGTTTCAATCTCTCTCTATTAAGAATAATGTTGGCTGTTGATTTTGGATAGATGCTTTTTATTATGTTCATACAACACCTTTTACATAAGACTCTTCTATAAAGAAATTATAACCATGATGGAATATGGGTAGTGAACACTTCCAGGAGGCCCTGGGTGTCCCAAACAGTTAAACTATGAGTACTAACCAAAAAGTTGGGGATTAAAACCCACCCAAAGGTACATTAGAAAACGGGCCTGGCAGTCTGCTTCTGAAAGATCACAGACTTTAAAATCCTATGGAGAAGTTCTACTCTGCACACATGGGGTCACTATGAGTCAAAATCAACTTGGCAACAACTTGACAGTTTGTTTTGGGGATTTTTTTTTTTTTTTTTTTTTTTGGTGCAGCTTTTAATTCCCACTATTTTGACGGGAACTATTTTAGTTTCTCTAATTCAGGAATTTTTTTTTTTTATTTTTATTTATTTATTTATCAATTATGATATCTTATTTTCAAATTAAACTAAGATGGGTCAGTCTTACCAGTCCCCAGAAGCAAGCTGGCTTTGTGTCCCACGTGTGGTCAGGCAGCCCCTTGGCAGTCAGCCCAGGCACCACAACTAGAGCAGTAATTCTGAGGAAAATCTCAGACATCCAGGATGAGAAATGTGCTCTTGACCCAGAAAGAAAATTGCATTGTGTCTTACTGTATGTGACTGAGTTGTCTTTTTAAAGAAAGGAAGTGGGATGGTTCATGTGTTATGTAAACCAGAATATTCAGGAAGATGGTTTGTCATATTACAGTTTTCATTCACCCATCCCTTAGAATGGTATCAAGGTCTCCTGCAGTGAATGGGAAGAGCTCCAGCCTCTTGCTCCTTCCTGTTTTGAAACTGAAGAGATTATGACTGGTAAGTATGAGGCAAGAGCGATGGTGTCCCTTCCCTGCTAAGCTGTTTTCTTATTTTTGTTTTCGTTCCTAGTTTCAAATTACTGCTCCATATGATTTTGAAGTCCTCCGGAATCTGGAACCATGGACCACTTACTGTGTTCAAGTTCAAGGATTTCTTCCTGATCGGAACAAAACTGGGGAATGGAGTCAGCCTGTCTGTGAGCAAACAACCAAGGATGGTGAGTCAGAAAGACTTAATCTGTACCTCAGCCTTCTCTGAGCATTTCAAGTTGTTTTATAGACACTTCACAGACTTTATAGGGTTGGAAGGCTCCTTAGACAGCATCATGTCCAGTTCAAACTCCAGTTTGAGAACTCTTACTGTTAGTTGCCATTGAGTTGGCTCTGACTCATGACAGCCTTATGTATAACAGAACAAAATGCCATTTGATCTATGGTATCTCCATGATCTTTGATATGCTTTGGCCCATTGTTGCAGTTATTGTGTCAGTCCATCTCATTGAGGGTTTTCCTCATTTTCCTGACCTACTTTACCAAACGTAATGTCTTTCTCTAGCAACTGGTTTTTCTTGATGACATGTCCAAAGTAAGCAAGACAAAGTCTTGCCATCCTGGTTTCTAAGGAGTGTTCTGGTTGTATTTCTTCTAAAACTACTGGAATATTAATTGGAAGATAGATGGATGAATGTTGTTGTTATGTGCCATCGAGTCAGATCTGATTCCTAGTGACCCCTCCTTGGGTTTCCGAGCGGTATCACTAGGGAAGTAGGTTGCCCAAACTTCCTTCCGAGGAGTGGCTGGTGGGTTTGAACCGCCGTCCTTCTGGTTAGCAGTCAAGTGCCTGGAAATTCCTCAGAAGCTAGGGTGTGAGATCCCAAGTGACCACATATCATTAGCCAGAGTATAACCTGCCTGGGAACCACTCCACAGCTCACTTACTCCATGTCCCTGCTTTCACCAGGAAGAAAAGCATGGTTAAGTTGAATATGCTGAAAGTATGAGTTAGAAGCCACCCCTTGATCCTAGTAAATGAAATAAGAATTCATTGGGGAACTGAGATAAAGAGTTGCTCTGAATCCGCAAGGATACAAGCTGAAAAGGTTATGAGATCACTGCCAAAGTGAATTAAAACAGAAAGACAAGGAAAGAAGGGAGACAGGCAAGGGTGAGGGAAGTTCTTCCTAGTCCCCTCCCCCAGACAAGTGCTACATCCATCATCAGATATTTAAGGACTGTCTGCTGTGTGCCAGCACCATCTGTCAATTTGTCATACTCTAGTAGCTTGTGTATAGTGGTTATGATGCTGGAAGCTATGCCATTGGCATTTCAAATACCATCAGGATCATAGGACGTACAGCCAGAATACTCCTTAGAAGCCAGGATGGTGAGACTTTGTCTTGCTTGCTTTAGATACATCATTGGGTAAGACCAGTCGCTAGAAAGGAATGTCATGTTAGGTAAAATAGAGGGTCAGTAAAAACAAGGGAAACATTCCATGAGATGGTATTGTAGATTAAATTGTGTCCCTCCAAATTTTGTATCAACCGAGCTAGCCCATGATTCTCTGTATTACGTATTATGTAATTATCCTCTCTATTGTGATCTGATGTAATTATACTATGTGTTGTAAATCCTAAACTTAATATATTGTGTTAGTGAAACAGGATACAACCTACAGAACTAGATTGTGTCTTGAGTCAGTCTCTTCTGAGATATAAAAGAAATTAAACAGGTGAACAGAGAGAAGGACCCCCTACCATCAAGAAAGTAGAGCTGAGAGTGAATAGGTCCTTTGAACTTAGGGTTCCGGTGCTGAAAAACTCCTAGACCCAGGTAAAAATTGATGACAAGGACTTTCCTCCAGAGCTGACAGAGAGAGAAAGCTTCCCTTAGAGCTAGTGCCCTGAATTCAGATGTCTAGCCTCCTAAACTGTGAGGGAATAAATTTCTGTTTGTTAAAGCCATCCACTTAGGATACTTCTGTTATAGCAGCACTAGATAACTAAGAGATGAATTGACATGGTACCTACAACAATGGGCTCAAACCTCACACCAATGATCGTGAAAATGGTGCAGGACCAGGCATTGTTTCGTTCTTTTATATATATGGTCATCAAGGGTCAGGGCTGACCTGACGGCAATTAAAAAGAATAACTCTGTGCCACACACTCTGTCATAAGTACTTTAAGAAGCCAAGAGGTGACTATTGTAGATGTAGTTCCAGGATCAGCTTACTGTTTCAGGGTTCTTAGATTAGCCTCGTCAAAGTGTGAATTGACATTTTCCCCACAAACAGTCCCTTTAAAATGACTTGCCCTTTCCCATGTTCACCAACATTATTCACAATAGCCTAAAGGTAGAAACAACTACGTGTCCATCAGCAATGAGTGGATAAGCAACATATAGTATATCCATATGATGGAATATAGTCCATCCATAAAGAGACTTGAAATTCAATACATGCTATGACATGAATGAACCTTAAACACATAATGCTGAGTGAAAGAAGACAGACACATAAGACAAATACTATGTTATTCCACTTATATGAAATATCTAGACTAGGTGAACTCGTGGAGACAGAAAGTAAGTTAGGAGATCCGGCAAGATGGCAGACTAGGCAGAAAGACTGCACAGACCCTCTTCAACAAAGAAAAGGGAAACCAATTAATACAGACACAGACGATAATCCTGGACCCCTGAGCCTTGAAGGGAAGGATATAGAAGTAGACTAAACCCCAACTAGCAGAAGAATTTGCATGAAAATACCAAAAAAGGA